GCCTTCAGCACCGTAAACTGAGACGGCCGCTGGATGATAAGGAGGAAATTTGCATGTTGTGACCGGTTTATATTGATAAATAGGCATGTCGAGACAAGTGGTCAAATTCGGGCGCCTTTGCAGTAACAAATCTGGTGGATCGTGACCGCATCCCCTTATACACATCTCCACCTCGTATTCTGCTCAGTGCTGACGTACGCCCGCATAGAAGAACGACCAGACACCAATAAATAACTTTATAACCAGTGAAAAACCATTCAGCATTGTCCTAGGATACATTACCCCATTGTCAAAGTTTATACAATGAACATTGAAACTGAGACAAACATGCACCGAAGTCTGAATATCTCTGGCCCTCAGTTCGTCGGTTTCGACTAGTTATTAACGCATAGGAAATGGTTATCACGCAGCAAATGGCGCCAATTGTCAAATACACAAAATCCACAGCAACTGACGATAATAGATACCTCGCGTCGGTAGATTAGCTGTTTTGCTTTGATAACCCCGCCGCAAAAACCGAGGATAAGGTCGCGGCTCTGATCTCTGAAGTCGGTTAGGCCTTTGGCAGGCCACAATGCTGGGTATGGGATCGCTGTGACAAACCCACAGACATGTTGGGCATTTATGCCATGGTGAAGCAGGTCTAAGTACAATGGAGCAGTCACAGCACCAGGATGACCGATGAGCACACCTTGCAGCGACTCTACGACGGCGACGCTGCCAAGTCCATCTGCAGATAAGTTGGACAAAAACATCACTACGGGGACACTTTGAAGACCTATTTCAAGTGTGTCCACATTAATCAGAAATGGAAGGGTAACAGGGTTCTGCTAAGCGCGAAAAGTCAGGCTTCAGTGACACCGTCCAGGTGTGACCATTATGACATCGTCACTTGCCCATGATTCAGGCCCCCTCAACGAGGCCTGATACACGAGGGTTTCGGAACCAGGCGGTGTGTTGCACGTGTAGACGGGCTGTTTAGCCTTGTTAACCAGTACACACACGCCCATCCACAGTCGTTTTAGCTTTGTCTTGCCGCAAAAACGCGGTGGCTATGGGGAAGGAGAGACGGGGGGAAGTGGGTTACGTAGAGGCCTGTCTCATTATAGGGTGAAGGACCTCATAACTGCCTGTAGACTGTGGATCCTGTCATATGGGGTTTATCTTGGCATCCATTTGCAAGCCGGTGCAGGCATTATACTGCCAAGAACAATTACTTCCCATAACCTCGAACCATTGCTCAAATTCCGCTAACGCGTCCATTTCACTGCCGCACGCGAAGGCGTACGATGAGAATTTCAGCGGAAATCCTAACAATTGCTGTGTATTCTTGCATTTCTTCAGCTTACTGTTTGACATGCTGCCTCATCCGTGAAGCCCCCATCGCTACCATTCCCGTATGGCACGATCCACAGTCCACCGACAGTTAAGTGGGGTCCTTTACCCTGCCATTGCCTAGATAACTTCCTCCTCCCTCTCCCATAGGTCTTGTGGCTGTGCCCATCTTGTGGGGCCGTGGTGGACCTCGTCACTTGCGCCGGCCAAACGATCGCCTATGAAGAGGCAGCGTCTTGACATTCACGGACCTAAAGATATAGCCCACGTGAGAAAACAACACGTCTTAAGAGGGTGAGCACTCGCCATCTTCCAGGTGCTGTGGCCATAGAGTGTCGGCTCAACACTTTACTGATTGCATTTTTGCAGTCTGTATTACTGTCCACACCGCATGTTCTAATGGCATGCATATGTGCAATGAACTGGACAGCCAGTCTTCTGGCTCTGCCCGCTGACTTGTATGTTATAGATTGAAAGAGAGCAGTCTTCCGTAAAGCGCTTCGAGGTGGCTTTTATCCATCTAAAACCTAAAGCGACCAGCGCCAAAACTATTGCTTCGGGACACAGAAGACGCCGGACATCTGGAGAGTGGCTGAGAATAGAAGCTTCACAATCTAAATAAATAGACCCCACCATTATAAGTAGGCATCTGCCACTCCGTAGCTGAGTGAAGGTATTCAGCACTCATACTGGGAGAAGATTTTGGTAACGAAACCTGACACGTACGCCTTTAAACGTCTGAATTAGTTCCTTAATGCGCCAGTCCCTTGCTGTAACAGCACTGATTCACTAATAATCTCCATCAGCGTAGCCATACTCAGCTGTCAGGGCATCGCGAATACGTTGTGGCTCAGGCTGAAACCGCATGTCTCGCGAAAACAGTGGCAGAAATTGTAGTCCGAGGGAGAGGGAGAGAGAGCATTAGGGAGCAAATGTGGAGGACTGACAAACAGGCGATGTAGTGATCAAAGATAAAACAGTTCACGTACCGGTACGCGTCTGATCCATCCACGTAGGCGTAACGCGTACATTATCTGGCGGTATTTTGGATTCCATCCCAGCATGGTGCTAAAGATGGAATTTGGCACAAAATTTAGACCTAAAGATGAGATGTTTTACGCTGAAATGTCAATAACTCGACAAAGATTCCGCTGCAGGGCCTACAGGCACATCTTGGGATGTCTGCCAACTGCTGGTCGCTTTTTCATGCACTTTAGTATATACCAGTTATAAAACATGGCTCAATGTTCACAGGATTGGCAGTACGATCGGGCATGCATTTTAAAAAGAGGGAATATCGGTCGTTAGAACCAGAATTCTGTTTGCTTAACGCTTCGGATTCACACGCAAACTCCGTTTCTGAGACAGCAAGAAATCAAAGCGGTGGACACACTGGGGTCGATGTTGCTATGCAACCGCATACTTGCAAGATGGATGAACATTTTTCAGCACCCAGAGAAGCTGCAGTTGCGTCGATATACGGGTGACTGCACAGGACATAACTGTCTCGCACTTTGCCATCTGTCTTTTCGAGTGGTTTTGTCACCAGTAAATGACCCTCATCGATCTCTCCTGTCTGTTGAACAGAAACAGGTGGTTCTGGAGTTCAGGGTTCAGAGCCCTCGCAAGCGGCTGAGTAGCGAAACGCGGTCAATCACAGAACACATTAACGTCAAAGACGATTTAGACCAGAGCAGGCATTAACGGGTTGGTTGACGCCATCTGTCGGTAAATATGCGCCCCCCAGACCGGTAAGATCTCAGATTCGCACGCGGGCGCAGTTGGCCATCGAGCAATGCCCATCGCAGATTATATAAAGTTTGCCTGATCACAGTCGACAGGGCGTAACCGTCGGGTCTTCCCTCTCTGACGTTGTAGTGCGGCCTGTGGATGACCCGAAATGACCTTTTCACCCTCTCCCGTCTTTGTGGGATTCCACAGATGAGAATAAAGCAAATATTGGAAGATGGGGGTGTATAGGACGTCATAACAAGGAAAATAAACCTAGCATAGCTGACCTACCTCTTCCGTATCCATCAAAAGGTTGTCCTGGAAAGTCAAAAAAATATTTCGGTAGAAGATGACTCAACCATTTCTGACTGATAAGTCCAAAGGGCAGAAACTGTCCAGTTTTCAGGCAAGTCAGCACTGTTACTTCACGAGGGAGATGGTCATGGTCGTGTCACGAATTAAATGCGCTTTTCTTTGGTCAACTATCTTACGCACAATGCGCACATGTGTGTGAGTGTTGAAAATTAACTTTTCTGTGTAACCACACGCAATATTACTACCAATATGATTTTGAAAAGGTGCCACAGACTTCAGAGCTTCACTTTACTTGTGGCATTTCCCCAGCTCCTTGGTAACGTTAGCAGAATAAAAGGCTGATTCGATGCGGATGAAATGAAGTTCTGGAGCGTGTTGCCAGAATTCACGCAAGGTAAATTGATGGCGTGAAGGGACTGGGCGGGGGCATCAAGTTGTTTGGTTGGAATGAGACATAATAATTAAGACAGAGATGGTAAAATATCAGAATTCGTGGGAAAAGTAGACGTAAATGGAATAGAAATTCACAAACAATTAGTTCGTTAAATGTTATTCAGTATGGCACAGAAAGGTATAGTCTGCGATAACGTCGGGGTCACCAATGACGTAAATGGTAATATCCTCACGAACTAACCAGTTATATCTCACGAGCCTCTAACCCTAAAGGCAGCAAGTAAAACTGAGCAATGAATAATATAGAGGTTCTGAACGTCAAGTAACCTGACAACAGAGAGCGACAGCAAAGCAGGCCAGCAAGACGGGTTGTACAAGTGTGTTGTTTTTCGTCACATTCAAACAAGCAGTTCGGCAGAGAAAACGGGACTAAATTGTCAAAGGTAAGTTAGTCCGGTACCTCACCACACACACCCATCGCGTTACGGGATATATCCGTTCCATTGTGCCTTAGGGCGCGATCGGGAGCACCGCGGGCAGCCATCCAGCGGCTGGTGGTATAGACATCATGACATTGTTGACAAAGACAAGAGAGGCTGGGATGACCATTTCTGGCTTATTTGCCGAGTTCCAAGACAGCAGGACGAGTATGTCCCGTAACGCGATCGGTGAGCGTCCCCTACCGTAGTTTGTATACCTAACCGCAACCGACAGGCGAACGAGCCCGTGGATCAGTGGCTAGAGTTTTTAACTTCTAGCCAGCAGAACGCGGGTTCGAACCTCAGGGGTTGCAAACCTGGCGTTGGGCATCGCCGACTGATGGCCGCTAGTAAGCCAGAAATGGTAATCCCAGTCTTCCTAGTTTTTGTCAAAAAGGCCATTCTACTTTATTTGATCTACAGTGATTTTTCATTCAGCTGGCCAGAGAATTTTGACACTGTTGTCGCTGAAGGTATATGTCAGCAAGTGACCGCTAAGGCTTGCTCGCGATCATGAAACATATTAATCAGGCTCTCACAACAAGACAAATTCCAAGACAGAGAGGATACAGCCAACGGTCTTACGGGGTACAACTCTTGTCAGAGTGGACATTGCCGAGTAAGTATATGTGAGAAAAACTTCATTGATACCAGCAGGAATGTGATCTGCTGGACGTGATGAGGACTCAAGTAAACTTACAGAACTAGAAAACATTCCGAGGAAAACGCGTTGGTCTTTAAAGCTCGAACACAGCTGGATGTGTGCATGCAAACAAAAGGATTAGCAAACGTGAACGTGAGACGAGAGACATCGAAGGTCCTGAGTCCTTTTGCGAAATGGGCTTTCTGGTTCTTCAGATGGCCGATTGCTGACTCTCGGGCAACATTTGAACTCGATTTCCCAGACAATCAGTTGCGATGGAAAAAGAAAAGGACTGCCGGCTGCCATTTCTAGGCGGTAGGGAACTCAAAACAAATGTTTACAGGAAGGCAACGTATACCTCTCTTATTTTAACTTTCCGCAGTACACCCGTCGTCTGAAGACGATCTGGGGAACCAGTCTCGAAAATTTACACAATAAGGCTTACTGTTTCCCAAAGAATTCCATCTTCCTAATTAAATCTCTTGGGATGCCTGTTATTCAATATACATATATACATATATAGGCAGAATGGTACTACCGACAAAGACAAGGGAGACTGGAATGGCCATTTCTGGCTTATTAGCCGTCGTCAGCCAGCCATACCCAAGCCCGAAGTGTGGAACACCCGAGCCTCGAACTCGCGACCTGTTGGTTTATCCTAGTGTTAGTCGCCTTACGGTAGACCGTCGTCTTTGTATTCCCGTCTGCCAGTTTTGTGACTTGTACGTCTAGGAAGGGCAATCTATTGTCGGCCTCTTCTTCCATAGTGAACTGTATGTCGGGAAATATCGAATTCAAAAGTGCCTTGAAATCTTGCACGTCGCTCCTTTTTATTATGACAAATGTGTCGTCGACATATCTGGCCCAGAACTTCGGAGGGTACGAGCTGAATACCAGCCGCTCCAGCCTCTGCAAAACCGCTTCGGCAATTAGTCCAGACAGAGGTGAACCCATTGGCGTTCCCCTTTTTGCTCGTACACTTGGCCGTTAAATGTGAAGAAAGTCTTGAGACACAGTTCTAGGAGCTCGATGATGTGCACTCGTTTAAGCTGTTGGTCGGTCTCGTCGTATTTTTCTCGGAGAAGTCCGTCGAGAGTGTCGATGGCCAGGCCAGGTGGGATAGATGTGAGCAGTGAGACCGCGTCAAAGGAGACCATCACCTCATTTGCCTCCACTCTACGGTGTCGGATCCGAGTCAAAAACTCTTCAGCTGACTTCACCGTCCACTCTGAGTCCTTGGTGAGGAAACACAGTCGCTGGTACAGCCACGTTGACAGTCCAAAGGTTGGGGTGCCACGTAGAGAGACGATTGGGCGGAGGGGCACTCCTGGCTTGTATACGTTGAACAGGCCGTAGAAGCGTGCCATCGCGGTGTCAGTGGCTTTCGCGGACAGGGCCTCTCTTCTCGTGAGGGCGTTTGCTTTCTTTAACCTACCTACTGTCTTGTTTGTGTTGTTTACAAGCTTTTTGAACTCGCTGGCATCCGAAAGCGCATAAGATTCCGTGTCTATCAGCAAGTTCTCCAGTTTAGTCCAGTATTCGGTCTTATCCATGACGACCGTCGAGCGCCCCTTTTCAGCAGGGAGGGTGACGATATTTTCAATTTTTCGTATATTGAAAAGTTCTCAATCTTCAGCTTCGGAAATCGTCATTTGGGGTTTGTGCTGGAGAAGTAAGGACGACACCTGTTGCCGCATGGCGTGTTTGCATTCTTCATCCGCCTCGTCAGTCTGAATACAACCTGGTCCATTAAATCGCTTTCTCTTCTTCGTCTTCCTCGGGGGATGATATACATGATATATATATATATATATTCTATCAGGAATGGGCGCAGACGGATCTTTTGGCTTCACGAAGGAAACAAGCTACGTATGGATGGCAAAGGTCACGAAGAGGCAACCAGTTACCAGGCCGATGTCGGCCAAGTAATAATAGCAGCGAGGAGGGACGACAGAGAATGCGGGTAGACTGATACAGTACTGCTTCGGGCTTATTCTGCCTTCATTCAATAAATACCCGATCTGCAGCGACACCGGACGAGAGGTGGCAAGACACTGATGAACTTCGGTTCGATGAGGTGCCTATGAACCATGTGGTAGGCCCCAGTGGTGGACCAGGTGCGCCAGCTGCGCCAGGTGCGTCTGTGCGCATGTTTGTGTTTCTGGTCCCAGCTGCTGGTGGTCAGGGTTATGATTGGCTGAATGAAGGCACAATAAGCCCGACACAGTACTGTATCAATCTACCCGCATTCTCCGTCGTCCCTCTGCGCTGTTAGATATACATATAGGCAGAATGTTATTATCCACAAAGACAAGGGGGGTTGAAATGGCCATTTCTGGCTTCTTATCCTTCGTCAGTCAGTCATACATACAGGACAACGGGCCCATGGCTCAGTGGTTAGAGGCGTTGGACTTCTAACTAACAGGTCGCGAGGTCGAGCCTCGGGTGTTCCACACTTCGGGGTTGGGCATGACTGGCTGACGACGGCTAATAAACCAGAAATGGCCATTCCAGTCTCCCTTGTCCTTGTCGGTTATACCATTCTGCCTATATCATGCGCCGCTGTGCGGCTGCTGGCTGGACCCGAGAGAGAGCCCTGAGACACAACAGGACGAATGAGTTCCATAGAAACGATCGGTGAGCGCCCCTCTACCATTATATATATATATGTTTTGAAAGAGGGAGGCCCTAGTCAAATGCTCAAAACAGGGAACATGGTGCCCCTTGTGTTTTGGAGCGCCAGTTCAGAGTTTTCGCAGGCAGTTACTTACGCTTACGGCCGCCTGATGAGGGGTAGCAAGGCGGAAATCGCCATTCCATCCTCTATTCTTTGCACTGACGCCTTAATCCAGTTCGAATGTAGAATAATTTTACAATGAATTGAATAATTCCTTTGTCGCTAACTGGATAAAAACATGGTTTCAATGCCGTTAGTTTGATTTTTTAGCTAGAATCGCTTACCAGTCAAGTAAGTGCTAGACTCACCATGTATTTTCAACATTTTCTCGATTAATTTTATTCAGGAATTTAATGATCCTGGAGACACTCAGGAGGGAATAGTCATATCAACCCGTCAAGATATACACACGCAAGAATATGTTCCAAAGTATTTATACGAGACATGTTTAGTCCGAACATTCGAAATAATCGAAAATTGTTTGTCAACAACTTGCTTATGTTCACCGCAAGCGTCCGTTTTGTTTTGTGTAAAATACCTCTGTTTCTTTCACACCTCATGAATTGTTTTCGTTTTTAGTAAAAAGCACAGATTAGGAGGAAAATGAATGATTACGGGGAGTAAATTGTTCCCCTTTCTACCGAAAATTGTATTGTGGCTAACTATCTTGGGTTGTTGGAATGGCGGCTTAAAGAGTATACGAACCAAAGGCCTGATGAGCAGATAGACGATGTCGAGAAGGAGAAAATAAACTTCTTTTAAGTCCCTACATCAGTGCAACGAAAAAGACATGACATTAATCATATCTGTTTTAGCATGTACGCAAGAGATTAATGTCTCCCCTTTCCATTCTTGACAATTTCACTTTATCCCCAAAAGCGCTAGGTTCCGCTGGGAAAGTTACGTCAGTGCGAACCGCAGTAAGCTCGGGGAAGACCAAGTTTAAAATAGAACATCATTGTCGTCTTCATGCCTTTGTGATCAGTAAAGAAGGTCGATAAAGTATAGAAGGGATCTAAAGCATCGCCGTGGGTTTAGGCTCGAATTGGACGCCCACGTCTCAGAGTTTTAAGCTTATCCTGCGTCTTAATTGAAGCCCACCTTTAACTTCCTAATTTTCTAATGTTAGCAAATTCAACTTACGTGTTCGGCCTTCATTTCACGTAATTTTTCTTTGAGGTTATAGTCGCTCAAGTCTGAGACAAGTTGCTCCTGACGTTCAATACACTCTTTCAAAAGGTCGGTCGTCTTCATGTCTCCCAGGTGTTTCATATAATGTTGCGAATGCTTGCGTCCGCGCTTTCCGTCAGATTTGATTTGCTGAAGTTTGAGGAAAATATGCTCAATTGCAGAACGTATCTCAGCAGCTTGAAGCCTTAGGTGATCGAGCTCAGTCGCCGCCGCCCTCAGGCTCTCAGACGAATTTTCCAGTGTCTTCTTTGCACCGTCAATGATGCTTTCACTGTATAAAATGTAAGATTGTGCAAACCTTCAAATGTCCGCTGAGGGAGGGAGGGCTCAGTGACTGCATAAAATTCGCAATAGTAGTAAGTGAGTAAGTTGATAAAAACCGCTCACCAGCACCTAAAAACTTAATATTTCCAATGAAAACCAGAATGAGAAGCACCCTACCAGTTTTCTTTGCTGCGGACAAGGGAAATTAGTCCAGTGAATACATCAGCGTGAAACACGCAGAGTTTTTCTGACTGTGGAATAACAGTGGATAATGGGATTTCCTGCATACAACCTGGAACCTTCGGCTTCGGCGACCAGGAAGCCAACTGCTAATTTTGCTAAACTATGAGATTGGAAACTTTATCTTTAAGTGTACTGGTACGGATCGTTTGTGTGCAGCCTCCCACCGAGGCAGGATACGTGAATAGGATCCCCCTTAATACAGGCGGTTTTACGTTAAATTCATGGGAAATTAAGGTTAAGACCAGTGCTACGGTTAGGACATGAAAATAGATACCCTTCCTGGAATTTAGCTAATGGTCACCTCTATTTACAGGAGGCGTTCCTGTTTGCGTATCCGTCCAGGGGGGGGGAATGCACATAGGCGACCCCGACCAGTATATCGTATCATTGGGCTGCTTGGTTTATTTCTTCTTGGCTGACGTAGGTTGCGCTCGATGTCTTAGTTGCTCACAACAGGAACAGGACCGAAAAAAACATCTCCGTCAGCCAAGCCATCTTTTCCATAGGGGGACTAAAATAAAACTTGATTCACGAGTTTTACAACTGGATGAACACAAAGACATCTTAACTAGCATTCCACCCTGAATCGTTTCATCTTGGGGAGTAGTAATTTATATTTACGGAGGAATGAAATAGGCGTAAAAGCGCGCCAAGAATCGAACGTCATCACGCTTTTTTGAGTTTAGCAATGCCATACTTACATTAACCAAAAACATCCATATTTAACTTTTGACTTCGCCATAAATCTTGCTCGCAACGGATTATTGTTCTACCTACCTCCCGCGAAATAGTTAATAGATCGTTTTCTACACAGTGGAACGTGTGTCCGGACCAATAGTGAATGACATCGTCTGCATATGCTGCGGTTGATGATGTTAACCCAGAAATTATGACCTGAAACATGCGCAGTAAACTTCGTGATCTGACCTTTGTGGCTGACCATCGTAACCGAGAGGATCAGGGAAGACGTAAGCGTAGGGGAAGCAAAATAAATTTTAAAATAGCTGACGCTTTCGACAAAGCCCCGGATTCTTAAATAGTCTGGCGAACTCTAATGAAGCGGTTACCAATATTCTTGGGATTGTAAGACCCTGTTAGAAAGCAAGCTTACTCCTTTAGACGGGAATCAGCCATAATGCGGAGATCATTGAAGGCAACAGTCAGCTTTTTGTTCTGCTCCTTGAGAGTGGTTATTCTCATGTCGGCCAAGTCGCGAAGTACAGAGAGCCGAAAAGTGGAGTCCTCCAGTTCTGCAAACCGATTAACCATGTCCTCCAAGTCCGCAATTCCCGTGACTGCTTTCAATTCGTGATAGATTTGTTCAAGCATTTTCATAGCCTTAAGGCTTTCGCTTACCGTGCTGTCCTCATGGCCTTCGAGATTGCCGTCTTGCTAGTGGCAAAGACCGGAGGTAATACTTTAGGCCGCGTTATGATTACAGTTCCAAGCAGACAAAGAGGGAATGCTAATCAAAGTTCCGTCGCATCAATGAACAAGGGGACGGAAATGGCGAGTGGCTAGTTCTTGTTGATCGACTTGCAAAAGAAGTTTTTCAAATCAAAACTTGGCGGTAGAAAAGAAGACTGTGAAAAGCTCCTAAATCTGCATTGAAATCTGACATCATCATAGGTGGTGATCACTCTATATTTAGCTGGTGGTCTGGCACCGTGTTGTGGGGCTGGAAGATGCTATTTCGACTAGCCAGCCGTCTGTCATGAGTTTCGCAGTGAAGGTGAGCAATGGACATCAGGCCCGTACCATGATCAAACACAATGAAAGTCATGTTCAAATGCTGACGACGACACGGACCCCAACATGGGTTCTTGATTTAGGGTTCCGGCAGACTAAAAATATAAAGCGGAACCGTTGCTACTGGTGGTGGTTGTTGTTGTTGTTGCTACTAGCGTGAGCTCAATTGCTAAGAAATTAAAAAGGAGGAGAAAGACATATTTCAAAAGTTCCCCTTACTAACAGCAGCAAGTCGAAGGAGGCTCACACAGTCAACCTTATGGTGCCGAGATACCCACCAAGGTCGAACTGAATTTCCTCGTAAAGTAGCTCTGTATTCGAGTTAACTAAATTCCAAGAGGAACTTCGTTCATGATGCTGCTTGACTCAGAATAGAATTCGTCAAGTTACAGAAAAGGTTGCCGCTCTGAAACGTAAGAAACAATAAGACAAACATGCTTTATTAACTTGCCTCGCTCTTGTTTATATCCTCTTCTATCTGGAAGGTAGATAAAGTATTCGAATGAGTATAATTATAAAATTTCAGAACTACATGGCAAGGATAAACTATATGACCGGGGTCAAAAAGAGATAACCGGTAGAGCGTGTCTTACGGGGATGGGGCTAATAGGAGTTATACGGATGGGACTTCACAGAGAGGAGTTAAGAAACTCTGGAAAGGAAATTGACGAGAAATTCAAAAAATTACCATGAAGCTCTGTTTGTGGTAAGATAGTAAGCTGAAGTCAATCTCAAAAGACAGGAAAAAAGAAAAATAGGTGAAAATTTCCTGGATTCCACCTTCGACCACGGGGACTTGATTATTGGTAAATAAAAAACACAATCTTCCGGAGTTTAATGACAGTTCGACTGCTGCAGACTTCAACATCCACCGCGCATCCCTGATGTGGGTCCAGCAATGGCAATTTGCGCGTGAATTATCGATAGAGAGGTAGACTATCACAATGCATACCCCGCTTTCTCCTTCCTTACCAAAGTTGTTCCAATATCAAGACCGAATCAAGACGACCGGAGGTGGGCGCGGGCGCAGCGGTTGACAGCCAAACAGACCACCCACCCGTGCCACGCAGGGTCTGGTCCCTGCGCAGTGTGCCAGGATTTCACGAGGGCGTCTTGGAGCTCATGTGCGTGCGAACGCCGTAAAAGCCACATTGAGGAGGTGTTATTGCAACCTGACTCTCGGTCCTCAAGTTACTCCAAAATACTCACCATGACGATAGGGTTGCCCCATCAGCTGACAACCTTCCAAGTCACGACTCTTGGCGCGTCGTGGTAGATTCAAACTTATCAGATTTATAATAGAGAGAAGGACATTAAAATGTTGGGGGGATGGCTTTCCCTGTGTTCGCGCACTCTCTCTTCCCTGCACCAGCCGAATGTTTAAGCCTCTCAGTCAGCTGGTGTTGGGCTAAGGCACAGTGGCTGAAAAAGTTAAACAGCGGGTCTACCTTTACCACACACGATCTAGTCCCCACTTACTGTACTAGGATATGCCAAAGGACATGTTTCCCGCGTAAGGGGGGTGCTCACGTTCTGATATGCGACGTTTCGCACGCCATACAGGCAGACTATCACAGTGTATACCCTCACTTTCTCTTTCCTTACCAAAGTTGTTCCAATATTAAGACAGAATCAAGACGGCCGGAGGTGGACGCGGTCGCAATGGCTGACAGGGTTAAGCAGCCAGTAGACGAGTGCCACGCATAGTATGGTTCCCACTCCAGATGCACCTGGCCACACTGAGGAGTGGCACAACGGCGGAATATCAGAAATGCGCGTCCTGCTTGCATTACCGGAGACCGTGTTTTCAAAAAATCCCGGATTTGATAAACTTTCTATAATCTATTTTCCCCCAAACTACGATGGTGTAAACAGCAACTAAAGCGTATATTAGCAAGACTTACAACCAGTGTCCTAGTTGGCATGGGTTCGCCCTTGCAAGCCTCAAGTGTTCGTCGCAGGTTCACAACTTCTAGTTCTCTCCTCTTCTTCTGGGAGTAAATAATCTCCTCGTGGCGTTTTAGCTCTGCCTTTGCTTGCTCTTTCAACATAACCGCATCCTCGCTGACAAGTTTAACCTCAACCAATTTGGCGCTACAACGTCTGATCTCAGTCTCAAGGGTCTCCACTGTTGTGGCGTAGGTAGATTTCTCCTGTGAATAGTGAATGGGAAAATGACACCTAAATTGGTCCTTGGGGAAGCGGGCGAGCATCAGTCGCAAGCAATTATAAAGAAATAACATAAACTCCCACTCCTCAGGTTCCATACCTCGATGAGTTTATGTCGAATGGCTTCGTAAGTACGCCCAATGTGTACTGTTTCGCTCGATTTCATTGCCGCCTTTTCGAGTTTGTTCTCAAGGTTCCGGATGTTTTGTATCAGCCTGTATTCATGGTCAGAGCATATTTTCGCATCGTCTATTCGTTTCCGAAGTGCAATCACTTCAGCCTCAATATCCTCAGCTTTCTGTGTTTTGGATCTGCGAGACAAGGGACGGAGTAAAGATGGGTGAAAACTTCGGCTAGAAGAAGGCACAAGCACTTAGCGATCGAAGATCACACAAGCTGTGCCGAATTCTCAGGTGAATGTCAATTTTTCTGGCTGGTAACCTGAGGGAAACCAAAAACAAAAAGCCCTTGTATACCCTTTTGCCGAAAAGTGACAGACCAGCATGGAACACCTATAGCTGAATCCACTGAACGCCGCTCCACATTTATGACTAGTAAGAGCTACATAACTACTAGTCTGGGGTCCAACACAATGCTGTTTAAATTTTTGGAGATGAGAGAGGCCAGAGTGTAACAGCCGGAGGCCTGACCGGACTCCCGACCTTGGTTGTTTTGAACGATACTCACGATGGAGTGGTTTTTTCCGTTTTTCAGGAATCGTCTCTCCGAGGCCACACGTAGACGAACAGCCTCCAGTCAGCCTACGATAAGTCGTTCTGGTCATTTTTCCGATTCACTTCATTTCCTCTTTTTGTAATAGTTCCTTATTATTTTTATAATTGATTATAAATAACATTTCTCCATTTACTATCCTATTTCATATGATGTTCCAAATGCCTGTATCACCTGACTCTGCACATTTCGATATTCAAGAACTTTGAGACGAGATCTTCGAAGTAGCCGGCCCCTCTGAGATTAAACAATTCACACCTCCCTCCAATACCGTTCGTGAGTTGACGACGCTTCCCCGCTTGGGCGCTACAAGAGTGCTTGTTCGCTAGAAAATCAGTAACTCGTTGACCCTCTATCCTCTGCTGCCATTGCACCAACTGTCTCTTGATCTGAACAAACTTGTCATTCGCCGCCTGAAGCAGCTTAGTGCACGCCCTGAGGAGTACATTTGCAGAGTTTGACGAAATATGGGCCTGATTGAGATTATTTAGCCATGTATCTAACGTCTTTTCAATGCTTATTCCGAGGGATGTTTTGTATGAAACAAAAACTACACTTTATTATGTTAAAAATTGTCTGACCACTTTGTTTACTGATAAATGTCAAATGAAAACCAAAACCTTGCCACAGAAAATCATAATTCCACGTAATTACAGAGAAACCCATAAGGTAAGACATTTGGCAACGTATGAAAAGACTCCATGGATGCTTAGAGAGAGAGTCACGCAGAAATTTCTCAGAATAAACACCCAAAACAGGATAGGAGATTCTCCTGTCGGTCGAACGTAACAGGACCGACTTCTCCGTTATTGACAGTGACAGAGATATCCAGCGTACATGACGATGCTAATAGGAACGAAATGACTATCCATCGTCATGATTAATATGAACCAACGTCAAAGAAGATATATCGGAATAAGCCCAGCGATGAAAACCTGCTAAGGAGCGACTCCGATTATATAAATCGCCTATCAAAATCAAACGGGCATTTAATGGGTGGCGATGGAACATGGACCGGCAAGCAGAGCAGAAGGTCCAAGAATAACGCGGAAATTTTTCATTCTTTGTTACATAAAAAGTACTACGAAGTTATAATTGAGGGCTATGGTTTGCAGAAAATTAACAATACCCTCAGGCAACTCTCCAACCTAGGATGGCGTCGTTAGAACAGGAGAGCAGTGTATTTTGTCATAACCCGTTTAAATGTGTACTCATAAATGTTGATCTAATAACACTGAAGTTATCGGAACGGCCCTCACAAAACACTTTAGGTGAAACAGTACTGCCCGTCACGTCAAACGCCTTGTGCATTGTATAGGCCTGGGAGCACATATGATCAGTCGCTCCCACTCTAAAGTCGCTTTCTCGTGACGATAACCAGCGACTGTTTCACACCCAAGGAACATCCATCCCAGTTATTCTTATCTGCCCCTCACATCCGTAGAGCGGGAAAAATTAATTCCAACTATCTCAACCTTCATGCTCCAGCGAGCAAATTGCGCTCGTTTAAGGCATTTCGGACAACAAATTCTAACAGTTATTTCAAGAGTTATTTCTTAAGTCGCTAAGTGTGTCTCGCCCCGTTAGCGTCGGCTTGAATGGCCTGTCATTTCAAGCCTGACAGCAGTAGCTGTAGTTAATAATGCAGTCGACCCCACAAATCTGACATCTAAATTGTGGATTTCCTAGAGGTATTTTACGTCTGCAGCGTTAACGAACACACATGCCCAGCTCAGTCTTAGATGTCGTGGAAAGACATAAAGACAGGGGATTTTATGAAGAAGCATTCACCAGGAGAACGCCCCTTCTTTTGGCATACCAACTGTCAATCGAATCGTTACCATTATTTACTATGTGTATGTTTGGATGCAATACAAAGAATACTCCTCTGGACAACATAGGACGCGCTGACGGGAAATTATTCTATTTTAACTGAAGCATTGACAACAGCCGGTTTTATCGGTGGTAGTCAGAGATACTCACTTTTTCTCATAAGCTGACCTCAAAAGAAGATGTGATTGCAACGTTTACAAAGAAAGAGGTAATGGATTTCATGGGTAAGCTTTTTTCATTTACAACCAGGCTCGTGAAGATTTCAAAAGCAGGGTGCCTAAATGTTTTGTGGTTCCGATGTCCATACGGCAGTTAACAGTAAGCAATTTTGGATGCTTATATGCCTAGTAACTTGCTCCACTAGAGCTGTTAGTTCACAGTAAGGCGTTTTCTAACAACGCGCAGTAAGTGCAACGAAGTCAAGGTTTTCTAGGAACGCAGTCGATTAGGCTGGGAGAAAACTGCTGTATACACAAACAGTTAAGTAGACTTCACACAGTAATAGATTTACTTGGTCTGGTGACGTAAGGCATTCAGTTGGTTGAGCTTGCTGGATACCTCGTAGTCCATCGCGGTGACTACTTGCTAAAACTAGGCCTACAGAGGACAAAACTGCTCACCGACGCCGTCCTATTCGCCAGCTTTGCGTAGTTCTCTTTACTCTTCTGAAAAGCCTGATCGAATAAAAACTCGGCCGTCTAAAAATGAAATGAAGCGTCATTAAAATATTTTTTATAAAGGGAATCAGGGCTATATTTCGCAACCGGAAAGCATGAAGGATTACATCCGTGTGGTCCTTATAGTCCTTTCGCAGTTCGCGCACTTCCGTGCGAAGGGCGTGGATCTTTTCCTTAGCCTCTTGAAGATAGCGCAGTGAAGCCTCGTAGTAGGCCTTTGTATCACCATCTGCCAAAGGACAAGTGCGGAAAAAAATAAATTGGCGTAGAAATACAGATTGGGGTCGCCTTTTACGTTTATATTCGATATTTCCATTGCTGCCTCCTTTCGAATGAATACCTGTAGTGCTGAAGTCTCCGATAAAACAAAAAGCAAAGGCTTATTTTTCGACTGGAAATTCAGGGGTTTGAGCCTGGAAATGCGAACACGGAACACAAATACCTTAGATGAATATAAGGCCAACTTAAGATTCCAGCCGTCCAGCACAAGACCAGCACCAAGGCAGGGAAGGGGAGCGACACGCAGGGCGAGAAAATTAAGGGCATAAGACATTGGTAACAAGGTGACACAGAGATGTTGCCGATTCGGGTCAGATGTCATTGCCTCATGTGTGGCCAGCATTTGATTACCGGTCCTATCTCATTTTGGCGATTTTTCCAACCCCATCTAAGATATATCACTAGTCGCTATGCGACTGCCTACGAGGACATTAGGTCGAGCCCCAAAGCACAGCGGGACGACGACGTCTCGCAACCTGATCGCGAATGCACCTACACAATAGTTGACACAGAACCGTTGCGAGCCTATCCTGTCTATACTTAGTCATTCGTAACTTTGACCACTATCCGTCAGACCCCGCCTGGGAACAACCTGCACTATGTACATACATGCTTGCCTGGTTTATCCTGCGGACACCATGTCGTCTGTGGCAGGCGCAGACGAACGGTCTAGTCCTGTCATTCACTGCGCTCGGACCCGTCTTCGATCCTCCTAACACTATCTCGTCACTAGATCCAAGCGACGGTGGGGAAAAGTGCGGCAGACGCTGCGTAAGTCTACTATCAACAAATTCTCGCCCAAGTATCGGCCATGAGGCCGCCTCATTGGGGACACGATGGTCATCGTCGACCTCGACAATTAAGCTGTCATTCATACGTGCAACTTTGTGATTTTGGTACTCGATACCAGTTAGGATTTTATTAACTGAACGACAGTGCTGTACTAGTTCACCCAAATATCTGTCGATAGTTTCCTTCTTGTGGAAAAGATCGCCTGGACAGGCTTGCAATATTACAGAGCGTAAAACCTAATCTCAATTTGAATCGGTTAACTGGTTTACTTTCAGTGCCTTTCTCAGTCGTCGTCAAAGATCGCACTTGGGATAAGTTAACACATAGTTGGCATGAATATTTGTCGTCATTTCCATACATTCCCAAAGTCACCACAGTTTTTTTATGAGAGGTATTAGTAAAAGGTTACTATCTGCTGATCATGTTGCAGGAAGCCCCAGCTTGAAACTCAAAATTTGAACGAAGACTTGCTTTTAAGTGTCAGCAAGTTGCAACGAAAGTTCGACCGTCGTTTCCGACGATGCGCACTGTGTGCTCCACGGCAGGGTGGGAGCTTGGACAGCGAACTACGCTTTAATTAGCTTACAATGGCAGTCGACTTGCGCTGCATCTACCGCACTTTCTTCTCCTCCCCCATCTGAGCCTGGTGTCAAAACAGAGTCAAGAAGACTGGAGACAGTGGAGGTCGCAGGTGGTTGGCACAGCAAAATTCCGCACCTAAGTATGCCACCACACTGGCTCAGATCCCACTGAGTGGGAGTGTCATGGAGTCCGCATGAAGAAGAAGCCATTGCAGCTTGAATCATAGTCCACCGGTCGGCCACATCACAAACACACAGTAAACTGACTGCGAGGCCCGAGTTATCCCGTCAGCTGGCAGTCTTCCAAGCCACGGCTTTTGGCGCACTGTGATAGCTTTAAGCGCATCAGATTGTTTATGGTGAGAAACGTTGTTGAGACCGTCGACCTCTCTCTCTCCTCACTCCCAGCCACCAGTCCACTGTCCAAGCCGGTCAGTCGACTAATGCGGGTAGTGGACGCGGTGTCTGACGAAGCCAAAGAGTCCGTGTGCGCGCACTACATGCACGACCTGCCCTCTAGACTCACACACCAGGATCACACACACAAGGGGAAGCGTCTCGGGCCTTCCATGTGTGAGAGCCATTAAGGAGCCATCGCAGTCTGACTCTCAGTCTACCAGTTAGCCACTCAATCCACAAACACACAGCTGGGCTGACTGCGTAGTTACTTGGAGCATCAGTTGGCAACCTTCTAAGCCACGGCTTTTAGCGCACTGCAACAGGCTCAAGAGTGCCAGACTGTTTATAATGAAGAGTTATGTGATGAGAGTCGACCTCACATGCTTTGCCCTATCCCGTGAGCCAATCGACTGTCCGAGCCGGTCAATCAACTCATGTGAGACTGGGAGAAGTGACTGACAGAGCGTGCCACACACACGATCTGACTTCCTATACACACACACCAGGGTTCCACACACAGGGGTCAGACTGTTCGGATCTCCCATGCAGCCGAATAGTTACACCGGGAAAGGAGCGAATGGCACATTGCTCGCTGACATGAAAAGCGCCGGTGATGTGGGCTACTGGAGCTGTTCATGTGTGGTGCATGTGTTGATGGAAGGACGTGTGGAGATGCGGTCATATCTGCAGGTTGTTATCCAGAATTCCTAAAAGTGCTCACATTTGCTCACGTTGCATCGCGGCGACATCGTAGGTATTGTAAAGTATGGACTCTCATTTGGAACAACTGGTCAAATTCGCAATTAAAGTTAACGAAACGTCGAATATTATGTTGCACGTATCTTTAAACGAAATGACCCAAGACGTCATAGACCTACGAACCAAAAATAGACGGCTGACAAATTCCAAAACAAATTTTAAGAAAGGCGGGGTTTCCAAAAATGACTAAGCGAACTAGACGATACTCTACAGAAAAATTTAAAACCTTTGAATTACTGCGAAAAAACTGGCCAAAACTGTTAATTGAACGGTTACTTCATTCTCTAGCAGAGTCGTCACAGGTGCTCCGGAAAGTGTTTATAGGAAGGCCAGAGTGTCATATTAGCTTGAAATTATGGTGCATGCTTTTTGATGGTGCGAGCGCATTTGAGAAACCTTTTTTGTCGGTTAACAAAATAAGGTTGTTTCAACTTTTATTTACGCACGCTTTCAAAGGGTGTGTATCGGTTTCAGTCGTCGTGATTTGTGCGAGTATTTCAACCAAAACAATGTCGCAGAGAATGTGTTAGAGCAAACAGAAGCTTGACTCAAGTAACTAGGTTCACCACCTGCTATTTAAACCCGACAGCGAGGATCGTAAATCTTACAGTATCTAGTTGGCTCGTAGCTACTCTCCTCAACGCTTTGCTGTTAAGCTAGAATGATCACAGGAGTTCTGGATAATTAGCGGTCTGGCCTGGTTTGCATCATATCTCCTCGAGTATAACGCATTTTTGAGTTTCTAAGGTTAGAATAAAGTGGTCGAAAAAAATATATTTTCCCAAAACGTATGTTTTTGTTTTTCTAACTTTTAAATGGAAGAAGTTAGCTAACTGAAAAGGTGCATTTCAGTGGACATCAAGACCTAGCTGAACTGTACATCATGTCTTGTGGCCTCTGAATTCAATAATAACCAGCTTCCTCTGATGTAGCCAGTCTGACGTGAAATTATAGAAGCGATTACACGTTCAGCAAAATCGTCTCCCTCTAAACCAACGTAAATCGTCCAACTAAAACTTCAAAATCTACAAAACAAGAAACCAGTGTCGATCCGCCCTCTGGTTTAAAGCCTGATACTTTACTGGAAAAGATCAAATAGCCCTGACAGTTTTCGGCTTTTCATGCAGAAAAACTCACCCAAAAGTTTTAATTTCGTCTTCATCTCCTCGATTTGTTCCACAATCGGTTTTGTACTCGTCATTCTTGTCACTTATAGCGAAAATAGCTAAATTATGCGACAGTTGACTATGTTTTCACCGATCGATAAAACGGCCAAATTTAAACTGTTACATCGGTCGAACACGCGGACACCTATCACAGTTGGCACGCCAAATACACAATCAGCAAAGGCGTGAAGCTTCTGCTGTGTATGTGGTACAAATATGACCCCCGGTGAAGCCATGTCGCAGCCGGCCACAATCCCGAGTTCTAGGTGCAGATGGCGCCGAGCCTGCGACGGGTATTTACGTGCATGCCACGACTCATTCTTCCGGTGTGGCTGCCAAAGTTTATCGATCGGTGTACGATCAGCGCCAGCGAAGGCGTTACCTTGACGCTGAAAAATGATGGGCCTGGGACAGCGCACCAAAATGGCAACTAGTGTACGAACCCTAAAGAACGCGTCTCAGCCACACGCGGAAATTAAAAAACGTGGGAACTACATGTCCTATTGCCAATGCGTGCAAGGACGATGTACAATCTACTACTAACCGTTCGAGTGAGATCAAGTAACGGATATTTCGGCGGGACCGACTTATGTGGACGTCTAAACAGGACACGGAAACATGAACACCCACCCAAATAAGAAAGGCGGGCCTGCGCATAATTTCAGAAAGGACAAAATATTCCCGTGTCATAGCTCCAACAATAATTGTAATATAAAATTAAACCGTTGCCCTAGTCTTGACCCTGACCCTAACATAAACCTTAACTCTGCAGTTAACACAAGCCCCTACCTTAACCCTAAACTTGGTCCTGGCTTACGTTGTCGTTAATTTTAAATCGAACCTTAAATAGCCTTCTTAACTTAGCCCTAACACTTGCCTTTAACCTAACCCTAATTTCACTGGAAGTTGGCTCAAAGCCACCCGTATTGTAAGGGGTTCCTGTTCTCGTGTCCTGTTTGGACGTCGCACAAGTCAATCCTACCGCTGTTTCCTTTAGAGACCGGATGATACTGACGGATGTGTGTCATTCTTCAGGGGTTTTTTGAATACGGAAAGTCTCGCTTATTACAAAGACCCGCAAGTGCCGGAGATCCTCCTGGAAAATCTTTACGCACGGTTACGAATGCCTTGGCAGTAAGCATAGAAGGCGAGCAAAAACGGGACGTGGTTGATCGCCGTTGCCAGCTAAAGACATTTCGAGTAAAGTATACCGACTTCGTCCAGCATGAGAAAAGCTGCACTAGCTGCAACATCGTAGAACATGTCAGGCCATTTAAGAAGAACGACTAAGGCAGATTTGGCACTTTGTTCGTCGCTTGCTCCACAAAGTCCGCGCTAATGCCCAACTTGGGACAGCGCAAAGTCGGCTCAAAACCGGACTCGGCACAGTTTGTCATTACATCGGGATGTTGCTTTGGCCTTCGGTTTTCCTTTTTCATTACCGGGACGTAGATTGGGTCGGACCCTTCAGATGCGCTGTTGTCACGCACAGACGTTTCAGACCTTATTGTTACCGTAACCTCCTGCCTGCAGCCGGAATCCACGTCACAGCGCCGCATGAATCATACAGTCCACCACTTCGGGTGACTGCCTCATCAGCAAAGCCAGCCGCGCACTGGCACCAGCCAATTTATTTATGGGTTTGCCACGAATAAAAGTGACGCGCAGTCTGGCAGCATATGACTCACGAGCGGCTCCAAATGGCTGGGCAACCCATTTGGTCGGTTGGCGTTTGCTACAACTGCACCCCAGTCTTACTGGTGCCTCCTATCATCTACCAATTGGTTGAATTTGGTGTCGTGCCTCGGCGGTAAGCGTAGGTGTCACTATCTTGGCCGCTACAAGGTACAGTCCACGATATTATCGAGGTCGGCCTCACAAAGCGCGACCATGACCGGTTAAGTCCAAAGTTTTCTACGGGCGCACTTTTTCCATGCCAAATCGCAACTGGATGCAGTCCGCTGTTGGCAGGAAAGTTGTGAAAACTAACATTGTAACGTACCTTTGAAAATCCCTGAGTAGCTGAAATGATCAAGGTATTTTCGACAGCACGGAAACTTGTTTGAGTGTACTCGCAAAATATATATACTACGGTCGGACACGGGAATATGGACTCTCCGTACTACAGATTGTCTTGCGCTAACTTCCAGAGGAGATACCCGTTCCTGTGTCTTAATTTTAACCCTAGGCCTAATCCTAACCCTAACACTAATCCCCATGACCCAAATCCTAGCTCTGCTCACCTAAATTCTAAATCTACTACCACCCTTTTCCCCGAAATTTAGTTGGAGGCCGCTTGTAATACGCGGGGACCCCTATTCACGTACCCAACCGATACTAGTTAGTATCCGTTTCAGGAAACTGCTTAAACAGATTTCTGTAGAACACAGACTACTGCTGACTTAGCAGATCTAATGATGCCGTTTTTCACTAAAGTTGAGTGAAGTCAACTGGAGTCTGTATGAACTCTACGACCCGGGCTGAGAGGTTCGGTTAAGAAGACTCAACTCCGACTGTGATTATAATTCGCGACGAAATTAGAATGCTTACTTCTACCTACTGTGACCCAGGCGCGGGGGTTTCGGTAAAAGGCATGAACACTGGTCGAGGCCGAAAATTGCTAAACGACCAACCTCTACATGGCTAGTTGAGGTTCCGGAAGGGAATTTACTATCGTGAAGGACGTTGTGGACAGATTCTATTCCAAACGCAATTAAAACGAAATTAATTAACATTAAACATCATTCTTATATAGTTAAAGATCAAAATTTGCGCCGAACGGCTACTACCTTCCCTCCCATCAAGACTTCAAGGGAAAGGATCACTACGATTAGTAGTTGCGAGGAACTTTTCCCGCACGTTTACCCACAGTTCGATTGAGGGCGTCTCAAGCGTTTTTGTTCACGACATGCCGCAAGGAGTACATTCTATTAAGGCACATCGATTCACAGTGAAAAATCAACAGCGAAGAGCGAAATTTATAAATGAGTTACTTATAACGTGTTAAGATTGGCAGCTTTAGGCAGTCTCCCTTGTCTTTGTCGGTAATAACATACTGCCAATATCATGCCCCGCTGTGCGGCTGCTGGTTGGACTGGAGAGAAAGCCCGTAAGGCACAACGGAAAGAGTGAGTTCCGTAAGAACGATCGGTGAGCGCCCCTTCTACCATTGGCATTTTTATTAACAACGAGGTTGAAGTACGTCTTTTTAGACCACCTAACGTGACAGATGGGCTTATATTGGGGGCAAATTAAATAAGAATGTGGCTAAATGGTCAAGAGAAGGACAAGTATTTCGCTGTCTGGTCTTGCCTAAGGTAACTTCCGTCCTAACTGAAGATCCGGTTTAAAAAAGACATAGACGTATTGGTTGCTTTCTCTATCTTTGTTGAGGGTGCCGGCTCGAAAATGAAATCCAATGTCGACACTTCGTGAACGGGTCGCTCAGAATATGCATGATGAATTCCTCGCTTATAACTAGGCATGCAGCTTTGCAGCTCATGAAGGGCTTAATCTGTCCCACCCATGCCATTTTGCTTCGAGCGGGAGGAGGCGTACAGCAAATTATAAAACGCGGAGCCTTCCGGACTGAGCTCAATACCGTGATTTTTATCCGGAGAAGTACTGACGCATAGCAGGCAATCAACCAGCAGTTTGTTCGCCTGGTGAATGCACAATTGCAGATTATTGCTGTATTTATGGTTGTTTTGATTAGCACCTTCTAATTCAACCTGTTCAACTCTATAGCAGGTTGTTGGGCGCCGGTACTTCAAGCCACCGTTTGCTGTCGGAAAGGAATTTAAAAATAACTTACTCAGTACACAGGAAGTAAATGATTTCAGTTCGAAAAAGGACCGTGTGCACGGAAACGCTTCTTTCCAAAGATCCTTGACATTCTGCGTGATATAACAGGCGGGGTGTAAGGATGTCCAGAGGGGGATTCAGATGAGGGGCGTGGTAAGTCGCTCATTTGCTTTCAGGTGTAGACTACGCCTAACATTCATTCGCTGGCACCAAACCCTCTCTTCTGGCTCTCCAAAGCTAGGATCTGCCTAGCGGCCATGCTGCGGGAGACGCCTCTACCGGCGGGCTAAACCAAGTGAAGGTTTACGTTCGTGCATCTCCGCACATGGCAATTTCGGCTCCGCTGGTCAGATGGGTCACTGAATCGGCATCTCTGAGATGAGGCTTCGTCTGGCACACCATAAAAGGTTACAAGGTAAGCGAGCCTCCAAATAAGCGAACGTTGCACTATTGACTTTGTTTTCGCTTGTTCTTGTTAGACTACCCTCTGTCTACTTGTTTATGTTTGTCCCTGTTGAAAGCTAAATGCCGTTCAGTTGGATTTTCTCTGTTGACTTTGCTCCTTGCTGTTCTCTCCCGCTTGCCTTTTTGTCTGCTTGCTCGTGTCCGTCCTTACTGTAAGCTAAATGACGTTCTGTTGAAATTATCCAATCACCGATTCTATTTCAGAAACCAGTCAGCCTCGAGAGGGACGGAAAAGCCCTGCTTCCCGTCTCTCTAGCCTTCTACCTTCCTCCCTCCCCTTCCCCCTTCAAGTCCTACGGCGACGTCGTAGGCAGGCCTACGCTAACTCGGGTCGTTCTCCCACTAAACAAAAGTCGTGGCCCATAGTGGAGTCCGGCGGCCGTCTGGGACAACTGAGCGGCCTTACTTAGGGAGAGCACTGCTCATCCACCACCCGCGGGGAAGGGCTAGAAAAAGTGCCCTAAACAAACGCTGGGGACCCCCGACGTCCGCAGGCTGACCGTGGCCTCAGACCCAAAAATCACGTCAAAACAACAAAACAAGAAACAACACACTCTCTCTCCCTTAACTCTCCTCCTCCCCACCACCCAATTATTCAGACTGATAGGGCGAGTCCGCTCACTCCGTCAGCCCGGAATCTTCGTTCCCTTTCAGACAGTCCAAGGAGCAAACCGACCGAAACGGAGGACGACACTAGTGGCTCGAGAACTGGCGCGCTACAAGGTGGACATCGCAGCACTCAGTGAGACCCACTTCTCCGAACACGGCCAACTGGAGGAGGTGAGTGTCGGCCACACCTTCTTCTGCGGAGGCCGTCCCAAGGCACCGCGATGGGACGCGGGCGTCTCCTCTGCTATTCGGAGCGACATCGTGGGACGACTGCCCTGTCTGCGCAGAGTATCAACCATCGCCTGATAAGCCTCCGCCTGTCGCTCCGGGAAGGCAAATTCGCCGCCATCGTCAGTGTCTACGTCCCCCCAACAATGACCAACCATGATGCTATAAGGAACGAATTCTACGAGAACCTGCACGACCTCCTGGCGTCTGTGCTGAAGACGGACAGGTTGATTGTCCTTAAGCACTTCAACGTCCACGTCGGCACAGACCATGCTGCCTGTAGAGGAGTACTGGGTCCCCATGGTTTCGACGGCACCAATGACAATGGCCTGCTCCTCCTACGAACCTTCGCAGAAAACTGGCTCACCCTGCCCAACACCTACTTCCGCCTGCTGATATGAGAGACGGCCACTTGGATGCACCGTCGGTCGCGGCACTGGCAGCTGTTTAATTATATCCTCGGCCGGAGGTGAGACCAGCGGGATGTGCTGGTGACAAAAGCGATCCCGGGTGCTGACGGGCGGACTGACCATCGTCTCGTCATCTCCAACATGCGGATTTGTCCACGACCTCAGCGGAGGCCTCTAGGAAAGCGACTCCCAGGTAAGTTGAAAATTACTTTTTTGTCTTCACTTATTCACCATCGCCATTTCAGCAGCGAGCTAGCTCAACGGCTAGACAACCTTCCAGTCTCTGCCGCCGCCGTCGCTGACAAGAACGCCTCCATGGAGAACCGATGGTGTCAATTATGGGGCACAGTCCAGTCGACCGCTCTGGCCATTCTCGGTCGCGCACACCGCCAAAACCAGGACTGGTTTGATGATAACGATGCCGCCGTCAGCAACCTGCTCGCCGTGAACAATCGCCTGCACAAAGCCTTTGTCGACCGCCCGACCGACGTCAACAGAGTTGACTTCTACCGTAATCGCCGCCTTGCGTAACAGCGGCTGCGTGAGATGCGGGAGGCTTGGGCGGCTCGCAAATCCAAGAAGATCCAAGGGTACGCGGACCGCAACGAATGGAAGGACTTCTTCGCTGCGATCAAAGCTGTCTACGGCCCACCAATCGAAAGTACTGCATCTCATTTATGCACCGACGGAAGAACCCTACCAACTGAGAAAACACGAATTCTACAGCGATAGGTCGAACGATTCGGAGGCGTCCTCAGCCGTCCCTCCACCATCGCCGACGCCGCCATCGCCCGTCCAACGTCGACCTCGATCTCCAGTCCTCTCTCCAAGAAAGCGTTAGGACCGTGCAACAGTTCTCCAGCGGGAAAGCGTCCCGATCGGACGCAGTTCCTGCTGAGATCTACAAGCACGGTAACTTCCCCTTCGTGGACCATCTGACGGAGCTCTTCCAGTAGATGTGGCATAAAGGAAGAGTCCCGCAAAATTTCAAGGGTGCCACAGTCGTGCATCTCTGTAAACGGAAAGGGGACCGCCAACTCTGCATCAACTACCGAGATATCTCCTTGCTGAACATCGCCGGGAAGTTCTTCGCTCGCATTCCCCTCAACCGCCCGAACAACCATCTAAAAGAAGGTCTCCTGCTGGAAAGCCAGTGCGGCTTCCGTTGTCACTGTGGAGCCACGGACATGGTCTTCGCCGCCCGACAACTGCCGAAGAAGTGCCAGGAGATGCAGACCCACCTGTACTCTACGTTCGTGAATCTGACGAAAGCTTTCGACACGGTAAATCGTGACGGACTGTGGAAAATAATGCAGAAAGTTGTCTGCCCCGAACGATTCTCTCAGATGGAGCGCCAGCTCCATGATGGCATGATGGCGCGAGCCACAAACAGTGGGACTGTATCAGAGGCATTTGCAGTGACCAACGGCGCAAAGCAAAGCTGCGTCCTCGCGCCCACCTTCTCCAGTCTCATGTTCTCTGCCATGCCTATGCACACCTAACGTGACAAACGTTCTGGGATCCGCATCGCCTACAGGAGGGACGGCCACCTCCTCAATCAGCGGAGGATGCACTTCCAGTCGCGTGTAGCTACAACGACCGTCCATGAACGTCTCTTCGCCGACGGCTGCGCACTCAATACCACCTCCGAAGGGGACATACAGAGACATGGGTCTCTTCGCCGCCGCTTGCGAGAACTTCGGACTGGTCATCAACACAGAGAAGATGGTGTTCATGCATCAAACGCTACCCGACGCTGCAGACGTTGCACCCCAAATAAACGTGAACGGCGTCCAGCTACAAGTGGTGTACAACTTCATGTATCTGGGCAGCACCCTCACCCGCACCATCAAAATCGACAACGAAATGGCCCGCCGGAATTCCGAGGCCAGTCACGCCTTCGGGCGTCCTCAAAACACAGTTTGGAATCCTCACAGTCTTCAATCCAGCACGAAACCAAAGATGTACAAAGCTGTCATTCTACCTACGTTGCTGTATGGAGCAGAAACCTAGACGGTGTACATGAAACAGGCACGCAGATTCAACCTCCTCCATCTTAATTGGCTTTGTCGAATACTGAAGATGAGGTGGCAGGACCGGATCCCAGACACAGACGTATTGGAGCGGACGGTAATCCTTAGTATCTACGCTGTGCTGAGACAACCACAATTACGCTGGATCGGCCACCTCGTACAGATGGACGACGGGAGGCTACCGAAACAATTCTTCTATGGAGATGTCGCGACGGGTTTACGCCGACAAGGAGGTTAAGCCCGACGCTACTCTACTCCGAGCGCCTATCTCAACGCAGGGCCTCGTGAATATCTGCACGTGCGCACCAGGGCTGTCTGGCAATTACCTACTCGGCTCTCCAACTGACCAATCATATTCAAGGCCGAGTTAGACGCGTCCTGGTTTAAGACGCTGTGATGCATTCCCTCGGGCACGGGACGCCGCTCACCAAGTGCCGGACGTGCCCACGTCCGGCTTCCAACTGCCTCCAACTACTTCTCCAGTTAATCTGTACAGAATATATTATCCTCCCCACTGGTTTCCGCCTTCTCTTTTAATTCGGGACCGGGCCTGAAGATCGGGGTAGCCAGGGTATCATTCTCGGCCTAGCCTGCCTCGATAACCTCGCCCGGGACCGACCTACGTGGAGTACAGTGAAGACAAGCGCTGCAATCTTCGAAGGCAATCCCATCACCGTCGCCGCCGACTCGCAAAGTCGATACCCAACTGCCTCTAACGTGCCCACGATGTCAACGGACATTCCTAACGCCCATTAGACTTGTTGGACCAGCTGCAGCACCCGGACTACACCAGTCGCCGTCTCTCCTTCCACCTCTCCCTCGGCTCCCACGCCATCAACTAATGTCGACTGCCCTTCCAAGCCACCACTATCGTCGTCGTCGTCGTCGTCGTCGTCGTCGTCGTCGTCGTCGTCGTCGTCGTCGTCGTCGTCGTCGTCGTCGTCGTCAACATCTTCTTCTTCTTCTTCTTCTTCTTCCTCCTCCTCCACCTCATCCTCCTCCTCCTCCTCCTCCTCCTCCACCGCCTCAACGTCTACCGCTGTGGCGTCTGTCGTGCCAATCGACACTACACACAATCCTCATACACCAGCAAACACCAACACCACTACCGTAAACGCTAGTGATGAGGACCTGGTCTATTCCTCTCCTTATTGCGATCGAACCTTCACCTGACACGTCGGCCTGCTCGGCCACTTGCGAATCCACTGCACAGAGACTGGCGAACCACCAATCTACACACGCCGCATCCGCCTCCACTGTCCACATTGCACTCGCACATTTATTCACTGCATGGGTCTATTAGGCCACATGCGCGTCCACGAAAACCTGCAGTAGACAACTGTCGGCTGCACCACAGCATCACATCCCCCCTCACCAGCATCTCAGCGATCATCAAAATCACCCACCACAAGCACCAAACTGATACCTCCCACGCAAGTGAGAAGTGTGCATTTCGGCTCCTTCTCCATGCGGCTCCCCTGCTGCATGTGTGATCGGAGTTTGAGACGAAGATGGTGCGTCGAGCGCCGTGGCCCGAAAGGCAGCTGACTGACGCCCCAACTCGGCCCACACAGTCTGCCCAACTGTGTGTGTATATATGGAGTGGCGGACTGGTGGGCTGAGAGCCAGGCTGTCACAGTCCCTTCCCGAGCGATCTGTGTAACTCTCATGCAAGTGAGGAGTGTTTCTGTGTGTGCTTTATGGGTAGTGCCTCTCACTCGACGACTGTTTGGTTACCCAACCTTGATGGGGGACTGCCCAGGCTAAATACAGAGCCAAGTGTCACCCTTCTAGGTCGAAAGTTCTGAAAGCGTGTGCTATGCCAATATCAGCAAACCATGGTCCTCTCAGCCTGCTATGCGGCGGCATGGCTGCCCAGTCACCCTGTTGGTGTGGTTTTGTTGTTGATCAAGTGTAGGTTGTAGACCAGGGGGGGTTGAGTGGCACGTCTAGGTGCGGGTCCGGCCGTGCCAGCCACCTGCGCCCTCCCTGACCCGGTCTTCTTGACTCTATTTTGACAGCGGATCCAGGTGGGGAGTGGGGAAAAGGCGGTGCGGCAGATGCTGAGCAAGTCTACTATCATTATAAACTAAACCGCGCGCAAGTCACCGTGCCTGCTGTGCCTTCCTGTGTGTCACACGATGGACATCGTGGGAGTCGACGGTCGAACTGTAGATGTAACGGGTATCTTAATAAGTTTTCAGTGCCTCATTGTGTCGGATGAAATTTCGAGATTTAGGAGGGCTAATCTGATGTAACTTGTTCATCCAATAACGTCATTTATCGTCTTTGAAAGTCAACTAGACGGGGCCTTTGATACTGATATTTTGCTTTCGACAATACGGATTATGATTCAAAGCATGCATCTCGAACCCTTTCTAGCCTTCCCTGGAGTTTTGCCATCAAAAGAGACAGAAATTTAATTGTTGCATTCCAGTTCGTTAGAATCGTTTAGGTTCACTGGCCTAAATCTATCCTTCTCAAATATCGTTCCTTTCGGTTCGCAACGAAAAAGGCGGATTCTCAACTTTACCGCTTCTCATAAGCTGCAGAAGGGCCTTTTCATTGATGCTAGCACTTTCATTAAGACTTAAGACCCTACCTTACCAATACACTTTTGTACTTTAAAGAAGTTCTTTCGGCCCTGGTCACCGTCTCCCGGATTCTGTACGAAACTGTGTCTGATGACAATGGAATACTCCCCACCTTCTGACGACTTTATGCCTGATCATGGACGATAGGAAAAGCTTGCGAAGCAGTGCTTTAAACATTTGGTTGGCCTTTCCTATTCCCTTCCGATTGTATTGCTGCTGTTAACTTTATGGAGAAAACTTTGTGGAACTAGTGAGTTTCTGAGTTCGTTTCACGACAAATACTGCGGTACACCTTAGTGAATTTTGAGTAAATATAGACAGGATTCCAGACGACCACTCACATGACTGCACGGACAATAATTAACGCTTGGTGGTGGTCTAGGGGAGATGAATACTGATGCGGTTGAAGGGTGATTGCAAACAGCCTGTCACCTTAGATTATATTCGGCTGATTAGCCGACAGAACTTTATCTCGGTTTTGTCCACCAGCCGGGTTATTTTATAGTTGGCACATCTGGTTGCGTACGTTCACTAAATTGACGTAATCTGCACAATTCAGGGTAACGAGAATGATTAAACTACGCACGTACTCAAGCAGTCTTACACCTAGATGAAGACTTCGACACAGGCCTAGACTGATTCAAAGTAACTCTCTTACTAGGCCGAATACAATCAGAGTTCTTCCAAAAACGGAAACTGACCTTGGATTGCCATACTGGACCAGAACCCGTGATCTTTCTCGCTCACAAGGATGACAAAGACCTGTGATGGTAGCGGACTTTAATTATCGATAGGTATGTTTGGTAAGGCACTAGTACTTGAACCCCTGTCCCCCTGAACTGTCTTCCGCTGGTGTCTCCTTATGCACTAAAACAAGCATGCGGCGCAAGCATGATTTCCCCATATGTTTAAGGACACCACGTTCCCTCTCCTAAAAGGCTCCTGTTACCACCACGTCCGTTTTAAAAGTGGACTCACACCTCAGTTCAAGTGAAGGGCACAAATAGCTTTGTCCGACCTTATCTTTTGAGATCAGAGGGTCATGGCATCCCACAACAGGTGTCGCAAGGAGAAGGGCGCACCAAAGACTTCTCTACGTGCAACAAGCTGCTTTCGTCGATCCAGCATCGCTTTTTGGTGCTGATCCTCAGTCACACCCTCATGCGAGTCGACCATTTGAGAAGTATTACTGACAAAGAGAAGAAGGACTGAAATGACCATTCCCCCTATCTCAGACCAGGTTGACCAGAGGTTTCGATCCGCGTCCAGCCGACCATTTAAAGTAACACCGCACAAATAGCCCTAGGCTCAAGTGCTATCGGCTGTAAGCCGGAATAAGCAAAATCAAGTCGAAGTAGTGTCAACAAACTTGACCTGAGTGTTGGCCGAAATGTGCTGAGGTTCAGTGGTCCATACTTCCAGGAACTTTCAGAATCTCTGCCGCAAAATACTGACACAATAGTCGACAACAGCGAATACATGAAACCAGTGTAAACGACTACCGAAGAAGCGCACCACAAAATTGTGACGCCTGCGCTCGCATATCTGTGCCGACTGAAGGAATGACTCGGCTGCCTGGGGACAGAGGACCAGGCTTCAATGGCTCCCCCTTAATGAACCCTTAATGACACTTTCAGGCATGTGAGACCAGAAGCGTCCCCGCAAAGGTTTGAGATACGCTGTGGGTACTAGCTCGCATGTGGCACGGGTAGACGGGTTGTTTAGTTTTGTTAGAAACTGCACCCGAGTCCACTTCCGGTCGTCTTGACATCTTCCTGCCATTGGCGCCAGGTGGGTGGCAGAGTAGAGTGTGGTAGATGATGCGCAAATCTGCTACAAACTAATTAAGGTACAAGTTATCGTCGAGCGCCCACTCTGGTGAGGCACAAGGTTAACAGAGTCGCTCGCGACGGTCGAGTCTTATGAACTGGTTGGCGAGAGGACTGAGATTGATGGAGAAAGCAGTACAAATGAGTGTAAAAACTGCGGGGTTGGCTTGAACGGGTGGCCCACTGAACAGGAAACAAAGACAGCTAGGCTGGCCCATGGTCATAAGGTCGGATCTTGGATCAGACGGTTAAAATTGCTGTAGTGGACGTTTTTACTGGAAAAAGCGATGGAGGGGCAACCGCAAAGGCATGCTTCCGTAGGACAGTTGATAAACATAAACTGCTGTCGCGCAGTGGGGCACAGGTAACCACAAGATGGATAAGTTAGCCATTCAACAGGCGGACGCGTAAGCCACCAGCTACTTATAGAACTCAACAGACAGGCGCCCTGCCGACCCCTGTACAAGGCTCAACAGAAAAAAATCATCTGCGTCAAAGTAGACCTTCTCTAAAACATCCGTGACTGGGGGACGTCCAAATCAAAATAAAAGAACAGAGAGAGTCGGCGCTTCCAATCGCCGCTCACAAGACTAGCACACAGGAGTAGCAAGTAGAGCGAGACAAGGGAAGGTAAGAACGGCGGAGAGATTATTGAGTGAGGATTTGAAAGTAGGCCTTCGCTTTCAGGGCACCTCGCAGAAATGCGGCGGGGAAGAGTGGAAGAGAAGGGGCGACTGAATCTATACTGTACATTGATATAGATAATACCTAACTGCTATTTTAATGTGACACAAGCAGAATATAAAACCAAAAGGGATCTGTACAAGTTAAACCAAGAGCATCACCGAAGACAGCTAAGGGGGGGATCAGTCGAAACGGCCATTGAGTCAGGCTGTATTTCGGAGCTGATGAGCTCCGAAATAAGGCGGGCCAGATCTTTACTCTCGGGTAGCGAGTCTGATATAGCCAGACGAATTTGGGAAGACAGCCGTTCAGCCGTGTCCGCGATGAGCATCTTGGCAATCACAGAGTTCATGCAGACAGGTTCTAGACCAAGGAGGGTTCTGAGGCGACAGAAACGACGGTCAAGCTCTTGTTTGACAAACTGTTGGCTTGCCAGTCGGCACTGCTCCAACTCGTTTTCCTCTTCATCCAGGTCGTGGTCACTGGTGCAGGCGCCCAGTACCCTGTTCAGTTCCGAGATTGCGGCATCCAAGGCCTTGCGCACATCTAGCAAGGGAGTTATCACAGGCAATTCAGAGTTCTCGAGTTCAGAATTCACTGCATCCGATTCCGAGGAGTTCGAGGAGCTTTTCTGGTGGGAAGAGGGCAAAGAAATCGGTGAGCAAGATCTCAAGGGAGTCACTCAAGAATAGTATCTTAGTACACTCTATAATACGTTATTCGAACAGTAAAGCTGAACCTGATGACTGAGGGAGGTACTGAACGTTCCATAAACGCACCAGCCTACGATAATTTATGTAATTTGAGAAACATCACATCCAAAGGTTTGCTCAGAGTTCTCTAAAGTGAGAGAACGGAACGAATAGCCGGAGACTTAAGGGGCAGAAAATCAAAGAAATAATGACTGTCAAAAAAGTTTCCAAGTAGGTGCAACGGCAACGGCAAGTTGTGTAACCCCACCTCGCAACAACTAACCCCAGACCCGTGTAATAGGGGAGTAGTGGTAATAAGAGTTTCACGGGTGGGGCATCACCGCGGAGGGGAAACAAAGTGAATAAAATAAAACACAAAAATAAATAGATCTCCGTCGAAATTCTTTTCCTATGCTTGTATATAGCAGCGGGATTGAGCCGTTAGTTGAAAAAAAAACAAATAAAAA